CGATTCCAGCCGGCGACACAACAAGAAGCCAAAAACTTGACAAAAGCGAGCGGCGGGCTCCTTTACCAACACCAAATGTCAGCCGGGGCCCCTGGTCTCAAATTTCGGTGCACATCAAAAACAAGGCACACCTCGGATTTTTCATGCGCTTACGGTACTCACTGTGGCGTCGCGGGTGGACGGCGACCATCCTGTCACATGCCAGCCCCACCTCAAAGCGACCCAAACCAAAAAAAAAAAAAAAAAAAAAAAAAAAAAAAAAAAAAAAAAAGAAAAAAACCGCCTTGGCTCCTTTACCAACACCAAATGGCAGCCGGGCAGCTGATCTCAAATTTAGGGGACACGTCAAAGCAAGGCACACATCAGGTCCTTGACGCACGTCCGGTGCTCACTGTGGCGTCCTCGTCCACCTGAGACCATCCTGTCGCACAGCACTACCGTCAAAATCATCTGGCGGTTCGCGCCCCCAAAAGATCACACTTGCCCTCCCATTTTGGCATGGATAGCATTTCCAAAAGCGGGTCGCAGATCGACTCCCCACCTGCATGCGGGCTTTGTGCCGAATCTGAACAGGCTCCGCGGCTCCTGGGCCTGGCCAGCGCGTCCATCAGCGCACCAGCCGTCACGGCTCCTCACGGTCAAATCGAGGAGGAATTGTCTTGGCAGCCCAAAACACGACAAGATCAGGAAGATGATCCATCCACGACGGTCGCACGGCAATGTTGTTTGGCCACCCGTTCATCCCTGTCGTCGCTTGCACCTCGACAGCGCTCGCCCCTGATGCCACAACGACGACAAACCGCACCATCATCATCAGGAGTGCGCCCGCCGCCCATGGTCCTGTTTCATCCTCTGTCTGTGCTTCATCGCGATGTTCAAAATTAAAAATTCAAGCAAAGCTTAAGGGAAGGAAGAGAGGCAAGAGGTTAATGAAGCAAAGATACGACTAGTTGAAGCCGATCATGGCCAGTCAAAGTAACAAGATGCAGTACATTCAGCACTTATTGAAGAAATCTCTAAAAGGATGACATTCTCTGTCTCTCTCTGTGTCTCTCTACAGCAAAGCAAAGCCAAGGGGTTAATGAAGCAAAGCTCCAAGTAGTTGAAGCAGATCTTGTCAAACTAAGAAGATGCAGTATATTCAGCACTTATTGAAGCGATCTCTAAAAGGATGACATTCTCTGTCTCCTCCCTTGAAAATCATGTTTTATTTTGTAAAAAAAAGTAAAAAACTTTTTGTGGCGATGTGTGTTGAAACGGACTCTCGAGTCCTGGAGACTCTTGATCTTGAGCCAATCTCCGTCCTGCAAGGGTCACAGAGACGATGGCATGCACCACTTGCCTCCTGTTGTTGATTTGCACCTGTTCTCAAGTGGCTTCGTCACACGCTAGTGAGATACTCTGCTGCCATTTGAGGGCTCTGGCTGCGCCGTCATGGTGCGCGAGCGGGTCGGAAGAGTCGCGGGCGGCTTGCCCGCTGCTGCATCTACGATCGCTGAGAGGGTCAGGCTGTGGCAGTGCGCTGTGGGCTCCCAAGTGTATAATATGCCCATTCGGTATGCGCTTGGTCATTGCCTTGGCCGCGAATTCTCGTTGCTCATCATAAGCTTTTTCCATTTAGAAAAATCAACACGAACGGCGACAGCGAGCCGACGCGGCTGTTGCTGCCCATCACATGGCGGGCCGTGTGTTTCAGGATGATGAACCTCAAGGTTCTTCACAGGAGCAGTGAAAGGCCAGCCCGCCAGTTTTCGATCATGCTTTGTTTCGCTTGAAGCTTTTTTCCGGTAGCGGCCGTTGCCGTCGTCCATCCTCACCGGCCTTGTTCTGAACTGCGTACGATGTGACCCCAAATGAAATTCTTACCGCGCGTACTCGCAACGGATACCAACAAGACACGGCCCATGACGGTCGAGCACTCTGCACTCGGGAGGAGCAAGCTTTGAGAGCCGAGTATCTTCGATCAACGAGCCGCATGAATCGCTCCCGTACGCGCAATGATGTCATACAGCTGATGAACGAGCTGCTTGCCGTTTGCCGTGAGAGGAGTATCATGCGCAAGAGAACCGATTCTCGATACGCAGCTTACCGACCACTCAGTCAC